TGCAGTAATCTTTCCTTCATTTAATTTAAAATTGCTTCAGTTATTTCTTTTTCATGGTAGTTAACACTCTTTATCATGTACTGTTTTTTGTTATGTACATGGTTTATGACCTTTGTTGGTATTAAAGTTTCTTTTGAAAGTTTACCCAGGTGTTTGTAGCATCATGAAAAAAAAGTATAGACTTAGGATTCAGAGTGTTTAGAGTTTCATCTTCAGTTTTTAGCTCTATTACTTACAGAGTATGTGACTTCAGTCAAGGTATTTATTTAATGCCCATAAACGTAAGCCTTCTTGTAAAATGCCTATATCACAGATTATCAAGAAGATTAAGTGGGAACTGAGAGCTTTAAAGAACAAATGAATTTAGGTTCTTTAACTTCAACTTGATTTCTGTGCCTGTACCCAGAATGGTACCATTTAAATATTAGAAATATTTGAATGAATTAGTAATTTATTTGCCATTACTAAATATATAAAGGCTACTGTAATTTTTTGGCTATTAGTACTTTGTTAGGATGATTTTTTTAAATGGAATTTTTTTCAATTAGGACAGGAGATATTATAGATTTACCAGATTTATATATATTATATATATTATGTTATAGAAATATACACATAACATAAAAAATATATATAATATAATGCAGAATTTCCTGGTGGTTAACAGTGATATATATGAACAATATTAACATTCAAGTGAATTCAAATTAGAAACATACCTATTAAGAAAAAATTAATTAACTGACAGTTAATAGCAATTTATTAAAGCCATTTCTTTTATCATTCAAGTAGAACTAGGCTTTGAGGGGAGCCAAGAAGATGCTTTCTGAACTCTAAAGCAAGCCCTTGATGTGACAGTACACCATGCCATATACTTCAAACATAATTTTCACACTCATTTTAACAGATTTAAATATATTCTAGTGCCAACTGATAGGATTATTCCAGAGGATATAAGATTGGGCACCCTAAAATTAAACTCTGATCCAAAGAGTAGTTTAAAAAGTTACCCTTCATCCCAAGAATTATGGATTCCACAAGTACTAACAAATGGTGATGTTTGAATAGTCTGAAAGATTTTGACAACATTGCAAATCCTAAATGACTTGAAAAATTTAACACAATGAAACAAGTTTTAATAATATGTGTAGACTTAACCTTTCTTTCTCAATTTGTCTTTTTTGAGCCTTTATTCATCATTGTTCACTTTGTATTAGATTATATACTTCAGTAGTATGTCTAGTATGACTATTTAAGGATAAAGTTTTAGAAGCAAGCATTATGCATTCAGTGCCCTTTTAAAATTATGAACAGAGCTGAGATCCATATATAGTAAAGGTAGCAATTATGTGTAATAATAACATAATTAAGAAATATTCCTAAATAGCAAATAGACTATAACAGTAGTGTTATTATAAACTTATGACCTAAATAATGATAGCTACATTTGTTGAACCTGTATTGTGCTTGATATTTTACATCTTTCCCCTGTTATATAGTTGAGGAACTGAATCTGAGAAGTTAAGTACTGTTCTCACATCATTCAACTAATAAGTAATGGAATTAGCTTCTAAGTCAGGACTTTTTTGAATTCAAATTAACTCTTTTAATAGTTGTGTTTTACAACCGTGTCTCTACAATAATATCTTCCATGGTATACACTTTCTTTGCCTCATCATTTGAAATTATTCTCTTATCTGCTTCATTTTGCCTAGTAAAGTAGCATTTCCTCTTCAACTTGCAAAGTCACCTTAAAGAGCTTAGTCTTCAGAAACATCATCTAAATTACTGAATGACTTACCAAATTAAAAAATATGCAAACTAGCATAATAAATGGTAGGGAGATTCAGTGGATGGAGCAAATATGTGGTTGCTGTTCCCTATGTAGGTTCTATACTATTCTATTAGAGCTCATGCTGACTAAAGAAGAAGAGATTTCTAAAATTGTATTCATATAACTTCAAGAAAGAGGAAGTAACTGCACTTGTCTGAGACATACATAAGGAGAGACTAAACTTGGCAAGAAGAATTGTTATATGTGAGTGAGACTGGAAAATATACTTCAACACTGATTCAGTGAAAGGGAAAGGAAACAATTTTAAAATCTGTTCGTTAGAAAGATAGTGGTTCTATGATCAAATAGATTCATTTTAGAAGAAGGAATAGATTTGGGTAAGAAGGAAATAACTTAAGGTTTGAAAATAAAGTATTTGTAATTATGTCAAGACATCTGCATGTTGTCCATCTAGATCAGAGTCCTTGAATTGTAGCTAGTTGAAATTGAGATGTGCTAGAAGTATAACATAAACACCAGATTTTGAAGACAATGCTGTCACATTGATTTTTTTTTGTATTGGTTGCATGTCCAAGTAATACTTTTGAAATAATTTAAGCTTTTCTTTTTGCTTTATCAAAGTGTACTGCTTGGAAACTTTAAAATGCTTTATGTTTTCCTATGTTTTACCTTGACAACATTGCAAATCCTCAATCACTTGAAAAATTTAACACAATGAAACAAGTTTTAATAATATGTGTAGACTTAACCTTTCTTGGATAACACTCACCTATATAGATGTTTGTTACAAAATTTAGAAATACAGAATCAAAATTCAGGCAAAACCTCTAGGTTTGGGAACAACCTATATAGGAATGATGTTTGATAAATGACGAGTACAGGGTATGGAGATGAGAAAAATACCAATAATTGTAAGACAGGAGAAGAAAGAATAACCAGGAGAAGAATTGGAAAACCAAGAGTCCAAAGTGATATAAAAGTCTCATTAGGATAGAATTTCAGGAAGGAAAGGGTATTTAATATCATTGAATGATAGACCAACGAGGAAGAGAGAACTGTAAAAAGGCCATTGAATTTGGTTTATATAGAAACAGTTTCAGTAGAGTATTAAGAGGGATAGATTGCAAGAGATTATGAAGTAGACTGTGTATGCAAACTATTCTTTCAGAAAGGGAGTCCATTTGTGGAGATGATAATCATTTGATTCAGGCAGAGTCCAGAGAAATTTGAGTATGTTTATTTGCTGAATAAAAGGATCAGTGAAGTAGTAGTGCTTAAAATTGTAAAAGGGACACTATAATGTCTGTAGTAAAGTGCTAAGCAAGGGTCCCAAACCTGAGTGCATAAGGGAATCATCAGTAAAAGTTGTCACAAGGGCAAATCCCCAGACAACATCTCACATCTAAAGTTACCCTGTTCTTTGGAGGTTTGTCTCCTGGAACAGATCCCTTGAGGGGGAACAACATGAAACCATATTCACAATTTCTTTTAGATGATTGTGATGTATCTGCAAAAGTCAAACAAGTCAAGAAAATTAAAGGAGCTGATGAGGAGGACATTAGTGAAATGGATGACCATACCATCCACAATAGGTACAAAGCCAATGAGGATTACAGTGAGGCTGATGGAGCATGAACAACAATTAAGGAATTAGCTTTCATTATTATGAGTGAGTGTAAGTTCAGTAGTAATGAAAGACTGAAAAAGTAAAAAGGTAATGGATTTTGATCAGAGAGCATTGTTTCAGATTTCAGGGTCTTGAAGTCTAAGCAGACACAAAATGTGACTGTGTTTTTCTCATGTGGAAAACAGAAAGAACTGTCAGGCACATTATAAAGCTTATCAGTTTGGTAAATGTAATATAGGATAGTGAATGGTAAAAAGATATATGAGATTTAGGATAGGTAGGAAGCACTAATGGTTGTATCAGTGTGGAATGATCTTTAAGATTCAATTAAACCTTGGCTTGGAGAGCATTGGAGAACATTTCCAAAGTGGGCTGACTGCTTGAGCTTACAAGCTTCTCTGAGTATCCTTGATCCAGTCTAGTTTTTATTGACAATAGAGTGGATGCTTGACATTCAAAGATACAACACACATAACTTGACTATTCACAAGGGATCTTGTGGGTTTATATTAGTCAGCTTTTTTTGTTACTATAACAAAATATCTGAAGCAGACTTTTTTTAAAAATGAGGTTTATTTTACATTTAGTTTTGGCTGCTACATGTGTAAACAACATAGAAGTCTCTGGAATGGATCCTCACCTTAGCTGTGTCACCTCATAGCAGATGGCAATGGTGATGACACCTGAGAAAGATTATATCTTGAAACAGGAAGCCAGAGAGAGACTAGGGTACCTGCATTTGATCTAAAGACCTCCCACTAGGCACCATCTTTAAAGATTTTATCACCTCCCAATACTCCCACCCTGGTGACCAAATCTCCAACACATGACTAAGGGAGGTGGCACACTTAAACTATATCCAAATTGTAGCAAGGTTTATACATGAGTAGTTAATAATTTCCTCTAAGAAATGGATTTTGTTCTCATATATGTCATCAACACATGTCTCTGTTTGCCTTTAACACCTGAAAGCAGTACATTAATCATCAGAGTACTTTGGTGCATGGTACATTTCACAAAAGAGGAAATTATATGCCAAATTATGGTATTAGTAAGTTACAAATTTGAGTTTGAATATGCAAATTAGTTTTTGAAGTTTTAAGCAGTGGACCTAGCATGTAATAATTGCTTAATAAATGATAATTAGTGGTGCCAATTCAGGAATTCAACAAATTTGAAGCCAAATTGTTTTGTATAAGTACAGGTTTAGTGAATATACTTAAATTAAAATTTTTGTTTTGACTTCGAATCACCATGAAATATTAATTGAAACTAGAATATTAAATCCTTGTGAATTAAGAAGGTATTGGGTCATTTATTACTTACCTTCTTGTGTTTGATATACTTGAAAAGAGAAATATTTTGTAGTAACTCAGAAAGGTTTTGGTGAAAAATTACAACTTTAAAAATATCATTTTAGTGTGTTTCTGTACAACAAATTTATGTATATAGAAACAAAATGAGTGAATTATATTATTCCCTTTTTCTTAGACTTAGTACACCTAAAAACCTATATTTCTGTTTTTGCTAAACAATTTTTTGTCATCATACTCACATATAACTGTTTTTGCTTTATAGTGAAGAGCTCAGAAAAGAAGCAAGACAATTAAAGCGAGAACTCTTAGCAGCAAAACAAAAAAAAGTAGAAAATGCATCAAAAGCAGAGAAAAAAAATGAAGGTAAGGCCATTTATCAGGCTTATATTTTCTCTTGTAACTCCTCCTCCCATTTTGCTTAACTTTTTCCTTCCTCTCTATTCTTCTGCCTTCCTCCTTTTCCTTCTTTCCTCCCTCCTTCTTGTGGTGGTGTTGTTTCCCAGATACATGCTTTGGACAGTTAGCTAATAAAATAAATTTCCACTGAGGACATTTTTCTGAGAAGTAAATTAAATGCAAACATGATATTAACTATTGCTCTTAAGTAGGCCTAATGAGAATTTGAGAGTACTTAAAATCAAGCAAAACTTCCTGTTGCTATAGCATGTAACTGGAGTAAAAATGCACAGAAATGGGATGCTCATTTTTTAAATATCACATACTTTAAAAAAATATATAGAAAAGTATTTGGGACCAATATTTAGGACTTGTATAAACATTTGTGTGTTGGTTTGAATAATATTAAATATGTGTTATTGCTTTTTGTTTTTACTTTTTCCTCATGTGTTAAGACAGGAAATCTAAACTATTGATAAAAATGATCAAAACAACACTTGCTCTTTGTACAGATTGAATATGTTCTGTGCTTCACTATGATTTTAATTAAACTAGAATAGCTTCCTAAAAAGCTATTTCCTTTCACTAAAAATCTTTAATTTATTTTAAACTGTTTTACAATAAAGTATGTAGTGTTCATTTTCCAAAATTGCAGCTTGAACACTCAAATCCATTTTCTTCTTACAGCAATAAATTACAATCGTAGATCATGATTGAAAGTTTTATTCATTTGCCTCTAATAATGTATACTGTTTGATGTGATAGATTTGCTTTGCATGTATTTCATCTGTATCCTCATACTTTTGGAAACCTTGAAGTCTTTTTATTATCTACTAGATTCTGTAGATAAATATAGTCTGTAGAGGCATATTAAAAATAGGATGAGGGCTAGAGATGTAACTCAGTGGTAGAGCACTTGCCTAGTATGCACGAGGCCCTGGGGTTCAATCCCCAGCACCACTAAAAAAAAAAAAAAAAAAAACAAAAAAACACAGCATCTAGCCCTAAAGCATACATACTCTGATATAGAATAGCAGGTAACATTTGGCCAATATATTCTTATTGTTTTAAATAGCACAAGCAATACCATAAAACTGTTTGAAGTGCATAGGGCTTAGATTATTTGTACCATATCCCAGTGACCATTATAATAAAGGCAGGTACTTTATGACAAATTGAAAGTCTCTGAAATATGTATTCAAATGAAACTAATTGCTAAAAAATTAATTCACCCATAATGGCACAAATTATAAATGAAATTTAAGAGAATGGGTAAATTTATTTATGACTAATTATAAGCAAAATATAACCCAGAACAGAAGTAAACTGTATTGGCAGTATTAAGATTTGAAAAAAATACACTGAGAATTATTTTATTTTTAATTTTATACATAATTTTCCCAGGGAATTGCTTCTTATAGTTAAAAGCATATTAAACTCATGAAAGTAATTCCATTCAACTAGAAAGAACTTTTTTTGGGGGGGGTACTGGGGGTTAAACTCAGGGGCACTGGACTCCTGAGCTAAACCCCCAGCCCTATTTTGTATTTTATTTAGAGACAGGGTCTCACTGAGTTACTTAGCGCTTCGCCATTACTAGGGCTGGCTTTAAACTCACAATCTTCCTGTCTCAGTCTCTCGAGCTGCTGGGATTAGAGGTGAGCTCACTGTGCTCAGTTTAGAAAGAACTTTTACTAAGGAATTTTATTCATTTTTTGAGCTTCTAATTATGAGCACCCCCATGTCTCAAGAACTGTCCTGGACTAGGGCTATTAAGTTGGTAATAGATGGATAGTTCTTGCTTCTATTGTTCATGATCTTCTAGGAGTGAGAGAAATGCAGTAATTACTATGCTGTGTAGGTACAGACTATGTTACACATAAACAGTATATGTTCTTATCTGCCTTTGAGATACTGAATATAATTAGGTAAAGAAAGGTGTGAGTCTTAAATGACTCATTTCTTTACACAAAGGGAAGCTTCTTTAAGAGCTTATTTTAGTCTACTAATATAAAAGTTAACCATGTTAAAATCATTTTTTTTTTCATACCAGGGATTGAACTCAGAGACATTCAACCACTGATCCACATCCCCAGCCCTATTTTGTAATTTTATTTAGAGACAGGGTCTCACTGTGTTGCTTAGTGGCTCACCGTTGCTGAGGCTGACTTTGAACTCACAATCCTCCTATCTCAGTCTCCCCAACCACTGGGAAGGTGTGTAATCTTTTTTTATACCACGATTAGATAGGAATTTATATAAGTAATTATTTTTCTGAGTTTAATTCTTCTCATATCATAGAGAAATACCTTGATTTGCCCTAATCTGGATGACAATTAAAATTACTTGTAAAAAAGTAGGTCCATGTAATTGCTACCATTTTGTTTTTCTTTTTTTTTTTGTTTTTCTTTTTTTTTTTCTTTTTTTTTTATTATTAATTGTTCCAAACATTACAGAGCTCTTGATAAATCATCTTTCATACATTTGACTCTATTGGGTTTTGAACTTCCATTTCTACCCCGAATACAGATAGCAGAATCACATCTGTTTTTCTAGTCTTGGAATTAGCATATTATTTACTAATTTTTCTTATTTTTTAAAATAATTTTAGACTTATCCAGAAATTGCAAAAATAATTCTTGAGTTTCCACATAACTTTAATGTTAAGATGATAACYAAAGTGCCTAGGTCAACATCAAATAATTAATGTTGGCACAATACTGTTAGCTAACTATAGACCCTATTAGAATTTCACACCACTATTTTGTTTGTGTTCTATGCTTTTGTCCAGAATTCCATATTGCATTTAGTGATCATTCTCTTTAGTGTTCGCAAATCTGGGACTCTTCCTCAGTCTTTTCTTATCTTTCATGACGTTAACACTTTGAAGACTTCTCGTTAGATCTTTTGTAGAATGTTTCTCAGTTTGAGTTTTGATGATTTCTTATGATTGGATTCAGGTTATGCATTTTTAGCAAAATTGCTACAAAAATGGTTTGCCTCATCAGTTCGTTTTTCACTAGTAACATGATGTCTACCATCTTATCACTGGTGACATTGCCTTGATCGCTTGGTTAGTGATATCTGCTGAGTTGTTGCTTTGTATAATTACTCTTTCTATTTTTGAGATTTAGAAGAATGTGGRGGAAAAAAACTTTTAGACTGTACAGTTTTCCTCTTTTAAACTCTTCAAGCTATTCCCCATTAATTTTAGCATTTCTTGGTAGATGGTGGATCTTGTCTGCAGAAGATATTTATTGTGGTGTTCTAATGATGACATTTTATTTCCATGATTCCTATTACTTTTACTACTTAGAATTTCATAATAAAAACTCTCTTTTTCATTATTTACTTATTTCATATGGGTTTGTATTTTATTCTGTATATTCAAATTATGTTTAGATTTTTTCAATTTTGGCCATCGGTAGCTCTTGCAAGGTATCTTCTGTGTCTTTTCAGCTTTCCACATACTTTGAGCACTTCCTTACTTTCTAACACAGGCTTATCATGCATTCTTCCTTTTTCAGACCCACCATAAACTACTTCTCCAAGGAACTCTGGTTCCTCTTATTTGAGTATTGTGTTTAGAAAAGAAAAGCTGGGGGACTGGGGCTGTAGCTCAGTGGTAGACCGCCTGCCTTGCACATGTGAGGCACTGGGTTTGATCCTCAGCACCACATAAAAATAAATTAAAATAAAGATATTGTGTTCATCTACAATAAAAGATATTTTAAAAAAAGAAGAAGAAGAAGAAGAGCTGGAAAGTAAGTGGGCCATTCTATTTTGATTCTGATGTTTTTAGAATATTATTAGAAGCCATATTATCACTATCTTGTTGGAAGGCTCTTTTAGAACTTACTTATGATGCACATTATAGATTACCTTTTTCTTGAAATCATATTTCTTATAAACTTACTTTGAGCTTTTAAAATTAGCAGGTATTGCTGCTATGATGATAGAAACTTGTTTATTATGAAAGATTTGTGTTTCAGTAAATACCATATTGTATTAGAAAATCAAATGTTGCTATGCAGTTTCTAAGTCTAGTAACACTTTTCTCCCTGTGGTTACAAGTGATATACCATGAGCCATCTCACAACATAACATTATAGAAACAAAGTAGAATTTTAAGCATCTTTTAATGTATGTCAAAACTTAGCCTGTCTTCCCAGTCAGCAGATATTCCAAGGTTGGAACTACGTGAACTATGGGAACAGATCCAGAGATTCTCATGTGTATATGTATAATAAGATTCTCATATAAAAGAAGTTGGAAAATGTTTTTTGACCTTGGCTTTCTAACTTCATGCATTGCTTGAGCTGAATACTCTCATGAACCCGTTCAGAAAAAGATTTCTTGATTGGGATATATGTCTACATATCTGGCTTTTATAAACCATTTTAGTTTATTCCAAGACTAAATTATCTAAGTATTCTGGCAATTCTTTATGCTCTGGTCTTTTGAACATTTTCTGCTATATCTAGTAATTTAATTTTAACAATAAACTTAAAAGCAGATAGTATATTTTAAATCCTTTTGGATCATTTGGAGTAGCAAATTAATATGTAATATAGACCTGACTTCTGTAAGAATTTCCAATTGATGTATGTACTACCCCTGCTAATACAGAGAGACTAAAAATACATTTMTTTTGGTATTTTTGATAGTTATTCTGATAGTAATGTGAGGTGCTTATTTTATGTAGCACTAATGGAATATTATAGCTTCTCCAAAATATAAGTAAGGAAGTATTAAAATTCTTTATAGTTACTGGCAGTAAAATTATTTAAGCCTTGATGACTCAGTTTTTGTATCATAAATCCAGAGATAAAATGTCTTAGAATGTACCCCCTAGGCTTGTTGTAGAAAGTAAAACAATGAGAAACTTTTTAATAAATTGATACTACTGTATAAAAATAATTTTAAATTTGTAAGAAGAAAAATATACCCATTTTGTTTCCTATCCA